TCCTCGTTCTCGTCCTCCTCGTCTTGCTCGTCCTTCTCCTCCTGGTGTTCTCTCCTCCTCCTCCTCCTCCTCCTCCTCCTCCTCCTGGTGGTCCTCGTTCTCCTCCTCCTGGTACTCTCCCCCCCCCCTCCTCCTCCTCCTCCTCGTCCTCGTCCTCCTCCTCCTCCTCCTCTTCCTTCTTATCCTCCTCCTCCCCTCCTCCCCTCCCTCCTCCTCCTCACTCCTCCTCCTGGTACTCTTCCTCCCCCTCCCCTCCCTCTCTCCTCCTCTCTTCCTGGTCATTCTTCTCCTCCTGGTCGTCCTCCTCCTCCTGCTCGTCCTCCTCCTCCTCCTGCTCGTCCTTCTTTTCCTGCTCCTCCTGCTCCTCGTCCTGCTCCTGCTCGTCCTCGTCCTCCTGGTCTTGCTCGTCCTCCTCCTCGTCGTGCTCTTGCCCCTGCTGAAAATTTGGCCCAGGAATGGGAGTTCTGGGAAGTCGAAGAGCACGAAGTTGCCTACAGTTGGCTACGGGCATTCAAAATGTGGCCCGGGAATGGAGTTTTTGGAACTCGTAAGACTCGAAGAGCACGAATGGCCTACAGTTAGTGGCCTACAGTTCTCCGGGCATTCAAAAATGTGGCCCGGGAATGGAGTTCTGGGGACTCGAAGACCACGAAGTGGCCTACAGTGTGGCTCCGGGCAATCCAAATAATGTGGCCCGCGAATGGAATTCCTGGGAACTCGAAGAGCACGAAAGTGGTGTGACTGTTGCATCGGCCCTCCAGAATGTGTGGCCCGTGAATGGCGTTCTGGGAACTCGAAGGACACGAAGTGTTTCGACTGTTGCAATCCGGTTATTCTCAAATGTGGCCCGGGAATGGCGTTCTGGATCTCGAAGAAGCACGACGTGGTGTGAACTGTTGCATCCGGTTTTCAGAATGAAGCCTGGGTGGAATGGAGTTCTGGGAAGGCGAAGAGCACGAAGTGTTTGACTGTTGGTGAAAAACGAGCCCGGCTCATGCCGCCCGGAAACGCCCCAACACCTGCCCGGACCCCCCTGTGGAGTGATCTGTGAGCTCTTTTGAGTCAACTAGAAACCTATCAGTCTTCGCTGTTAGGTAATTATCCCGGCAAAGCAACCTAACAGCGATGTGTAGGAGCATATCTGGAAGCATTCCCCTTAAGATTCAAATGAGAGCCCAGTTGTAGAATTCTGCTGTTCTCGCAGTCGTAGTCGCATTCGCGATGACAGTCGCAGCGGCAACGGCAGTCGCAGTCACAGCCTCAGCCTCAGCCTGCCTCAGCCTCAGCCTCAGCCTGCCTCAGCCTCATCCTGCCTCAGCCTCAGCCTCAGCCTGCTTCAGCCTCAGCCTCAGTCTGCCTTCAGCCTCGGCCTCAGCCTCAGCCTGCCTCAGCCTCAGCCTGCATCAGCCTCAGCCTCAGCCTCAGCCTGCCTCAGCATCAGCCTGCCTCAGCCTCAGCCTCAGCCTGCCTCAGCCTCAGCCTCAGCCTGCTTCAGCCTCAGCCTCAGTCTGCCTTCAGCCTCGGCCTCAGCCTCAGCCTGCCTCAGCCTCAGCCTGCATCAGCCTCAGCCTCAGCACGAAGCAACCCAGCTAGAAGGACAAAGCGCTGAATGTACACCGATGTGTTCGACGACTGCGTATGTAATGATGTGACGATATACAGACTGAGCCCTTCGTGAATGTCTACATGTTTTTCTGACGCCTACAAACGGCGCTGACGTGTGTGTGAAAAGTGTCCGCGCAGCAAAGCCGGCGAAGCGTGCAGACAGCCAGCTGCAAAAGGTTGCGAGCGGCTCTTGGAAGACGTTTACGGAACGGAGCTACGGTGTCTGAAAACAATGGCATCGAAGCGAAGAGCCTCGGAGCCCTGCAGCCTGAGAAACACCGCAGGAACTCGCATACTGAAAGGAATGCATTGCAAACCGCACGTTGCGAACCCTGCAGGCTGAGAAGCACCGCAGGATGTCGCATGCTGAAAAGCACTTGTACTGCAGAGCGCAGGCTGCGAAACCTGCAGGCTGAGAAGCACCGCAGGAACTCGCATGCTTTCGAACACTACTGCTCGAGACCGCAGCTGGAGAGCGGCAGACCGCAGGCTGAGAATCACCGCGGGCAGAGAGACTTGCAAAACTCAGATGTCCTGATCGTCTTGGAGGAAGTCACGCCAGTCCGGCGGCTGCCAAGAATCGATGATGCGCCTGGAGCCACCGCCCGTGCTGCCGCCGATGTCCAGGTAGTCGCCATCGCCCCTGAACAGACGGCCGTGCCCGCACGCCAGAATCGCTTGGTTGCGGATTTGAAGCAGCGCTCCGCTCTCAAACATCTGCAACACGTCCTGCTGCCTGCGCGTGAAGTTCGGCTTTGCCTGGCCAGCCTGGGCAGACAGATATAGGGAAAGCCGCCCCCCCTCGTTGTAGCGCGCGATGGCCTCGGCCTTCTGGTGGTGCAGCCGGCGCCGCTGTTGCCGCAGAGCTTCCTCGGGAACTGCTGCATCACGGCCCTCACTGTGATCAGCTTGCAACGCTTGCGTTAACCAATCAACGTCGAAGCGCCCTGAGAAGGCCAGCACCTCCCAGATCTGTTTAGTACCGGCCACACGTTGCAAATGGCGATGCCACCGCTTACGCTTCTGGTCTTTCACAAACTTGGCGACGCTACCCAGACCTGCACCCTTGGCCTGGCCACCTTTTCCCGCAGGCTGAGAAGCACCGTGAGAACCTTTCTTACCGCCTGGCCCTTTGTTCGGACCCTGCGGAACCGCATGGCCCCCTTGTGGCGCAGACTTGCCTTTCGCTTTTCCCTTTTCGATATCCCGTTCCTGAAGCGCACGCTGCTGCCGCGACTGCTCGTACTGGTCGCGAGCTACTCTGACCAATTCCTGGCGCTCAGGCTCCGTGAGAACGTAGCGCATGTCGTCGATGTTCTTGCTCCGCAGAAAGTCATGTCGAAGCTTAAGGACAGAGAGAATGGCTCGGCCAGTCTCCTCCTGAGACGCAAAGGCCGTGTCATATTCCGAGCCAGGCTGAGGAGCGCCAGCTGGATCAGTGTCCGCTGGCTCCGTGGACTTCCTCTTTTTGAAAAGCAAGAGACTGAGATGATGGAGGACTTTCGGATCGTACTCCTCGTCGTACCTGTCGCCCCAAAGCTTCCTCAGCTCCCTGTGCAAGTCGTCCGCGCGATTCTGAACGACATCCTCGACGTAGTCGGGATCACCCGGTGAAGTCGGTGAAAGCGGAGGAGCAGAACTCGGCGACCGATCCCAATGCACAGAAGACTCGCGGTCCGCCTGTACGCTGACGTCGGCGTCGGAGACGTTTTCGACGACAATTTTCCGCCTCTTGCTCTCCCCAGGCTGAATAGCACCAGGGAGAGTGAGCACAACCGCCACCGCATCGTGTGCGTCGTTGCGCATGCCACGATCCGTAAAAGACGCGCCAACGGCAATGGAGCAGAAACGGGCGACTGCTCCGCAGACCGCGACGTGGTCGCCTTTGAGGTCGGCCGGAGTGGCATGGACCTCCCATACCTTCTCGTCGTTCTGCTCGCGCTGGTAAGCCTCCCGCGCCTCCTGGAAAGTGAGGTTGTCGTCGCCGACTACAAGCACAACGACTGCCTCGTTTAGATTCTCAAGAATCTTGGCCAGGCCGTCCAGGTGCAAGCGGAGATGGCGAACTGTCCGCTTTCGAGTCTGGATGCTCGGCGGTTTCTTGCCGCACACGATGTGCATGTTGGCGATCACCACGTGGAACTTGTCATGGCCTGGTTTGTTCACCTCAAAATGTGAAATAACAGCATCAATATCTCGTCCGCTAGGAGGCCTGTAAACTTTGCTGTCTTCGCACAGAGTCAGTTCCGCAGGCTGAGAAGCACCGCGGAACCCCCAGAGAGTCAAGTAGTTGTCGACCTCCAAGAAGCGAATGCCATCACCGAAAGGCTTACTGAGGATCTCTGTCACGTTGATCCCTGCTCGGCGAAAGCCTTCACGGAACGCACCGACCTCGCAGCCACAGACCATATCAGCATCAGCGGTCTCCACTATCTTGGCGCACAACCTTCCGAAGTTAGCGCAGTGAGTGGCCGCCTGCTTACCAGTCATCATGCCCTGCTCGAACCCGAAATTGAACGAGGCGACCGTGAAAGACGCAGGCTGCACAGCGCCAGAACCAGGCGTCTGTCCACCTTCCTCCGCAGGCTGAGAAGCACCGCGAGGCGGCGCAGGCTGAGAAGCACCGCGAGGCGGCGACACTTCGGACGAGCCTCGCGGAGCAGAGGCTGCGGATGAACGTTGGACATGGGGGTACGGCCAGGGGAACGCCATTGCAATCAAAACTCAGTGGACTGCAGTGAATGAATGTAGTGGCCAATTGAATGCAGAGGACTGCAGTGTCACTAGCAAGTCCTGAACCAAACACAGCTGTGGCGGAAGGAATATGAAGCGTCTGGCTATTCAAAATGTTGCCCGGTAATGTCCTCCTCCTCCTCCTCCTCCTCCTCCTCGTCCTCCTCCTCCTCTTCCTCCTCCTCCTCCTCCTCCTCCTCCTCCTCCTCCTCCTCCTCCTGGTAGTCCTCCCCCTCCCCTCCTCCTCCTGGTAGCCCAGGAATGGGAGTTTTGGGAACTCGAAGAGCACGAAGTGGCCTACAGTTGGCTCCGGGCATTCAAATGTGGCCCGGGAATGGAGTTCTG